CCCCCCGTATTATTGCTAAACATGCCGTTTTTGAGAATTTGATTTTCAACTAGGTTGAGGCATCCAACCACGCCATCAGTCCCAGTAAAAACATTAGGTCACGTCAGCTAGTTTCCTATCCATTTATTTTATTATCCATGGTGCCGCTAAGCCCCCCCCCCCCCCCCCTGTGGCATGGTCCGTGGCCTGAGCCAGCATGACAAAAAATTAAAATTGTATTAAAGTACGTATCCGAAAGGAAAAGCTTCTACAGGTGTAGATTTAGATTATACTAAGTAACTTCTCAACATTGTGAACAAATAGATGGGTAAACATTGTTTACAAATTGTATGTGAATAATTGATAAATAGTCTGAATTTGCCTCTAAAGGGGCTGGTCATATTAATGGGATGAATCATATCACAAAATATTTTTCCTGGCCATATTAAAAGATCCTTTGAATGAACTTTATTAACTGTTACTGGAATCAAATTAATCTAATTCAACTTTGGAAATGACATTTTGGATATTTATCAAAACCATGATAAAAGCTTTGACAATTCATCATGCCGGTTAACCAGCCCGGCTCCAGCTTAAAAGATAACGTCAATCAAACACACGCTACTAAGTTTAATTAATAGTCAAAGCATTAAAAATATACATTATTTATTCTATGCCCATGATTATGTATATGAACACTCCGTCCACACTCACCCCCATATTATTATGCTAAATATATAAACACGCCCAAAATGCATTTTCGTATAGGTATATCATATACCTTTGTTGTTGAAAAGTTTATAGCTTCAATAATATAACCCCATGATCATACATGATATATATACACACAGTTTTAACAAAGTTGTTAACTCTGGTCTATCGCAAACCCAAGTACTCTAAATTACGATTTCTAAAGTTCTCTGCTAGTTCCTTCAACTTTTCACCGTCAACTTGATTTTCTCCATTTTCAATCTCACTCTTTACACTATCCTCGATGGTTGGTCTGTGAACCTGTTCGGCTGCTAGACTCTCATTAGTGATCTCTTGCAAGCTTGCACGATCGGCCGACTTCTTCACCACTTTTCGCTCGCTCAACCTCCGTTGCCGATTCTCTTTGTACACATCCAGTTTCGCCTGCAGCTTCTCTTCTGTCGCCTTCTCATGATTTCGTATCTGCTCCTCGACAATTTCCTTGGTCTGTTTAACTTTGGAACTCTCTTGTCGACACTGTTCTACTTTTGTGTTCAAAATTGCCTTACGATTCTCTTCCCATCTCTGCTGTTTCTCCTCGATCTTCTCAAGTAACTTTTGTCCCTCGTTAAGATCGGCCGCACTCTTCGCATTCGTCTCTCGCTCCACTTGCTTCTCCAATGCTCGTTGTTTAGCAACCGTATTCTGCTCTCGGACTTTCTCTGCATTCTCGAATTTCTGTGCTAAATTTTCCCTGGCACTCTCTGAGAACTGCTGTGCCCTTTCCTCACGACGCTTCTTGGCCTGTTCGACTTTATCCAAGCTGGCTTTTGCCTTCTTCCTGATTTCGCCCTCAAAGAGCTGGCGCTTGACAGCCGACCGATCAAGCCTCACTTCCAACTGCATCAACTTTTTGGCGCTCGACACTTCCATACTGCGATTTAGGGTTTCCTTTGCTTCCTCTACTCTCGCTTGCTGCTTTTGAATTTTTGCCACTTTTTCATTGATACTCGCTTCACGGTTCTCCTGGCTTGCCTCCGACTTTCGTCGTATCTTCTCGGCAGTCGCCAGCGCCTTTTCCTCGATTTGCCGTTCCTTGGATTGCTTGACAGCATCGATCTGCACCATCCTCGTTCGCGCGGCCTCTTGTCGGCTCACATGATGTTTATGGTAGTTCTCTTTGAATTTCTCAAACTTTTGAGAAAGTTTTTCCTTGACAGATTCTCTGAAGGATTTTTCACGTTTTTGAACAACCTCCTTGGCAATTTCAATTTTCCTGGCCTTCTCCTCCCACTGGCCTGCCCGTCCGGCTACAATGGCGTCCTGGTTTTCGGCAAATATATAGAGGCGTCGCTGGTACCTGGCTTCTGTCTCGCGCCGTTTTCTCTCCTCGTAATCTGTCATGGCTTGGCGGACAACTTCTGCATGTTCCTCATTGTTGGCTAGCTTGAAACGCATGTCAAGCTGCCTGCTCTAAATTTAAGAGATTACCTTTTAATACTGGACCTCTAGGGAGAACCATGGGCGTACCGGAAGGAAAAAATTAGGGGGGCGGAAAGAAAATTGCCCGACTTTTCGGGATTCTGCCCGACTAGTACCAAAAAAATTTTTTCCGGAAAAATTATTTTGGCGACCTCCCCCCCCCCGTCGCCAAAAAAATATCGGTCAGTGTACCATTTTAGGGGTCAAAAAAATTTTCCGGACAACCAATTTTTTTCGGAGCATAACACAAATTTTCAAAAAATCACAAAATTTCCCAAAAAATTTACTTAATTTTAGACAAAATTGACAGAATTTGTCCCAGTTTTTTTTATTGCAAACCAAAATTGCCCGACTGTTCATCGAATATTGCCCGACTGCCCAAAAAACTGGGGGGGCTACCGCCCCCCCCCCCC